CTGCCCTCCAACGGACAGCGCTCCAAGTCTCACCCTCATACCGGATTTTGCTTCATAATAAAAAGCATACTTTTAAATTCCCTCCTGGCATCTTTTTAAAGAATTTCATTTGTTATGGCCTTGGAAAATACAGAACTGAGAGCTGAGAATTGCAGCAAATGACCATATGGGCCATAGACCATTAATAAAAACGGAATGGAAAAGGCTGCCCAGCAAAAATAATATTTTCAATCACGGAGCTATTTTCTGTCATCTTTGTGAGGCTCAGTAAAATGCTCCACAACTTCTGGAAATTCCCATTTAGTTGTAACAGTCTTAGAACGTGAGTAATCTTTGTGTCATCAGTGTTGCCGAGCTCCTGTTTGAATAATCCCTTCACGCGCCCAGGCCGGTAACCGGAGCCAGTAATTGAATAGCCTGGGTGAATGTCGGCGGCTTCTGCCCCTCAGTGGAAAGGCCAATGTATTTTCCACGGGAACAGGAGTGTGAGTAAGTTTGCTGGCAATTCTATCTTGTTTATTCTTTAATTCACTGAGATTTTATTTGTTGGTTTGTTTATTTTTGCTTTCAATTTCAAAATAATTCTCTTCTTAAGAGGAAATATGGCACAAGAGGCTTCTGTTTCATTGAATCTAGACCCAAAGGTGGTCGGACAGGCCACAGAAACCAATATCCTTGACTCCAGGAGCTGTGATTACATTGACTTCCATTCTTAAAAGCCCTCCAGCAGAGATCTCAAAATTTCATAACCCCCTTTAACCAAATTAAACAGGACTCACTTTGAGGCCACGTTCCTGGAGTCCACTGGAATTGCATGCAGCCCCAAAGCCACTCCTTAGTCTGTGTCATGTGGACATAAGGAGCCGCTGCACCTGTCTCAGGTGTCTGCAAGGTGATGAGCGCTCTCCAGCCAGGCAGTTCAAAGTCACTGTCTCTGGGTCCTCCAGGCTCTAGAGTGTTTCAAAGAGCTCCAGGGTCAGCAAGCCCCCTGCTTGATGGACGTAGGAGGATGTGGAGGCTTTTGAATGTGGGATGAAGTGCCAGCAATTAATTAAGTGTATAATTAAGTTTACGGTGTGGTCAGGCAAGAGGAATGCTCTACAGAAAAACATGAGTGTGTCTGAGCACAGGGACTCAAGGCTGAGTGACAGACTGGGAGGGAGCAGTCACTTCTAGGATGTCAGCATGGGTGCCTGGAGCCCCAAGTGTTGTGAGGTGCTTCTCACAACAAGCTTCTCTCTGCTGAAGCTTGCCACTTACATCTTCTTAGCCATGTTTTCCACCCAAGTACAGCCCAGCAACTTTCTCCCACCCACCTCCTCCTGCAAATGCTCAGGAGGAAAGGTGTCGTTAGGCAGTTTCATCAGATTGGCCCAGTTTCGTCTAAAGGGAGAGAAAGCAGGGAGAGTCTGATTCCTTGGTGACCTCTGGAACCAGGAGGTGGTCGAACACCATGCCCCCTGCCTGCAGTGTCTTTGGAGCCTTTTTTCTTTAAATACGGGAGAAACCAGAGCATTTTGGGCAAAGAGTTACTAAGTCTACTAAGGTTTATTTATAAAGGGTCAAATGAGCCCTTCTGCTAATGTACTTAGCAGGCCATGCCCATAGATTTCAGATGTCAGCCAGCTCGTGATAACCTCAGAGCCCTCCGACAAGGTGATGAGTGATCTGTGCAAACCTTTCAACCCTGGTCCAGCTTCCTGCTGTGCTCCCACAGAACCCCAGATCTCTTCTGTTATATAAAGCATGGTCCTGGATGTCTGAAAAGTGCAGGCTGATCGTATACATTATAGATGCATAAAACTATAGATGCATTAGAGTAAGAATAGTACATCTCACCCAAAACAAAAATTAGGCATTCCAAACCAAATATAACTGGCTTTTGGATTAGCCGCTCTTGGGATCCTTCTCTCCACGATCTTTCGAATAGGGGCCAATAGCCTATGGTTAACTGTGGCAGTAAGTGGCAAAAGCAGTGATTCCTTTCTAAGTTAACTGAATCAATAAGACATCGATATGGCTTCGAACACAGCCCCCGACTCCGTCACGTTCAGTTTAACAGAACTTTCCAGAAGGCCTTCTATTCCTAAGTGTTCTCTTGTTTCATGTTCTCAGAGGGCTACTGGTATCAGATGCTTAGAGACTCTCTGTTCAGTATTTTAAGTTAGACACCCTGTGGATATTTTTGTAGCAATATTAGGGATTCAGAAAAGAGAAGAAAATGGAATGGTTCTGCTTATCACGTGAGTGAGCCTCTGCCCCCTTTTGAGCAACACAGTAAACCCTTGCTAATTTTATCCCAGCCATAGAGAACCTTGCTGCAATCACCAGTGTGCATTCACAAGGAAGATGATAAGCATGGTTTTTATAAAACCAGCTCCGCTCTATCAGCAAATGTACTGTCTCCAGTTTAGTGGGGCAGGATCGTTTAATTCTGATTGTGGTAACAGTTCACAGCACACTAGCGAATCAATTCAAGTGCATTCTGTAAAAATTATTGAGAATCCTGGAATTAGAGGCTAGCTATGGATCTCTGGTATTGAATCCTTGCTAATAAATAGAATAGCGGGTCCAGGTGTTTGTGTAAGTTACCTAGTGTGGAGTAGGGTTAGTAAAATTAGAATCAGCTATGTGTGGTTCACTTAGCATTCATCCAGTCTTTTCAGAAAGCATTAAGTTCATCAGTCAAAATTCGATCAGCAGCATACCTAAGTAGCTGTAACTTCCTCATTGCCGGTGTTTGTGACAGCTAGATTTAGGTGGAAGCAGAGAAAACATGCAGTTTTCGTGACCTAGACTCCACGTTCAGATCCCTTCTAACTGACCAGTGATGAGTGAGTTTAAATGCCTGTGTTTGTCCATGTCAGGAGAAGGCACGGTTCTCTGCATTCTCTATATGTTTCGTATTATCTGCACCCATTAAACATACATGGAATTGAATCATGTTTTATTAAATTGAATTTTATTTTGCATCTTCATCATTTGTCTGAAGCATCGGCCCTCATCAAACATTCAGTCTTTGGAGACTGTCCACATCATGACACCGTCTGGGAGATGCTGCTGCCTTGAAATGCCAACTTTCGGGCCACTACCAAGTGATCTCCCTTGTATCTGATTTCAAAAAGAACTGCCTTTCGCAGACTCCTTTTCTGTAAAGACCAGGATAGTAGTGGTTAGTATCAAAAGGTTGTTATTTTACAGTAAAAAATCATTAATGTGAGATTTCAGGCAGAAAAAACGCAAGTAATTCTTCCTTCTTCAGTGGAACCATCTGTATATGTTGCTAAAATCCCTGAACTTCTTAGGCCAGACAGAATCAAAAACAAGTGTTTATTTGGGGGAGGAGACCATGGAGAAGATCAAGAAGAGAATTGGAGAGATTTGCTAAGGTCCAGGTTCTGGGGATGTTGCTGAGTCCTTGATGTCCAGCAAGAATCAATACTTCTCTCCAGGCCTGAAAGCCTGTGTTTCATCTGTACCGTGTGATACAGCTGTGGCTCTGGGCAGTGTGTACTGATTGAGGACAGGCAAGGCATCTGCGTCCACTTTGAGGCTCCTCCTTGGGTTTTACCACTCCTTGCTTATTGCTTCTCAGGATCCACAGTCAGCTGCTTCTGCAGGGGGATCCCCAAGTCCCCGGTGTCCACAGTGTCTGTCACAGGCCCTCCGGATGAGCTGTGTTCATCACTGGACTGGGCTTGGCTAAGAATGAAGGTTGTGATTTATCAACCCTCTGGACCAATCCTTTGCTGACATATTAAGCCCTCTCCACCTTGATCCAGTCTAAGACCAGCTGTATTCAATAGCTGATGTGCACACAGCATATTCATTCCATTAGCCCATCAGAGGTACCGTTTGAGGTCTCAGGGCTGGCTAGAGCAATGACCAAGGAAAAACTCTTCCTCTCACTCAGCTTAGCTTCCATTGGGATCGTAATAACAGCGGGCAGCTTGAGGAATGTTGCCTGAGAAAGGAGGTGATTGAACATGGCTTTAAAGAGCTCCTGGGGACCCTTGCATAGTGCCCATAGCGTACTTGCTTTCTGGACCCTGAATCCAGCTTTCTACAATTCTTCCTTTGTCCATCTTCCTTCAGTTCAGGTTTGGATGTCTCATCTTTAGGAGAACAAACACTCTCTCAGCCCCTCCTTGCTGCTGGCACAAATTGATGGGTAAGCTCAGGGACCCCTGCAACATGGCTGGTCACCTGACTGGAGTCCCAGTACTGAGGTGGCTGTGAACTCTGCCGGGGATGGGGAACTGGACAGTGAGGATGGGGAAAACATGTCCATTGTTAATGATCAGATACTTGAAGACATTTTAGAGATTTGCACCTCCCCAGAATTGAGAGTTTTTCTAAAAGTATGGATCGGAGAAACAATTAGCTGGTACTGGCAACCCTTCTGCACCCTGATTCCCAGGAAATTTAATCAGAAGCTTTGGGGATGGAGGATAGGCTGGAGATGGACCTTGTTGCGGTGCCTGCTGGTTTATCTTTAGGGACATTGCTCCTCTCACTCTTTAGAACATGTTTTTCAGCCAGATTGAGGTATTCCGCTAGGATCTATCAAGGAATAGCAGCTAAGTGGCCCTAGGATGTTTTCAGATTGCCGAGAACTCTTCACTGGCAGGGGAAACACCATCTGTTCAGTTTCAGGAACCAACGAACTATTTTAGATGTTACGTGTGTGTAGAGATGAAGTTTGAGACGTTTTCATGCTGCTGTTTGATTTTTTTTCCCCTCACAGTTTCCTTGTCTTTCTTCCCCTGGTTCAGGCTCCGTTAACCAGAAAAGGAAATGAAAGGTCCTCCTGTGGCAGAGGATCAAGAGAAACCTCCAGGGGTTCTGGGTTGGTAACTCTTGAATGAAATGAGGCTTCAAAGGCAGGGGGACGCCGTCTATGATGATCTCTCTTGCCGATTTATGTTCTATTGACACTCAAGTCATAAAATGAAATACCTGCCATGCTGATTATTTACGCTTCCTCTGTTTAATTATAGTTTGAAAATGAGATCATCACCAAGCTGGATCATGAAGTGGAAGGAGGCAGAGGAGACGAACAGTACAAAGTGTTATTTGATAAAATGTAAGTGTTGATTAGCAGTGGCATTTATGTCTGAGAGATATAGAGACGGGGAGACCATAATTAGACTACAATGAACGTTGTAGACCAGAAATAATTAAAATGTGTTAATAATGGAAAATATTTAAAATTGCACCTCCATTGAGTTTCTTTTTCTGAGTGTGATTAACAAGGTGTGTATAATTATTTTTCAGCCTTCTGGAGCACTGCAGGAAGCATAAATACCTTGCCAAAACAGGAGAAACTTTTGTAAAACTCGTTGTGCGCTTGATGGAAAGACTTTTGGATTATAGAACCATCATGCACGATGAGAACAAGGAAAATCGCATGAGCTGCACCGTCAATGTGCTGGTGAGTAAAAGGTTGATTACGGTTTTTTTAGTTTTTACAGCACACCAGAAACCAAAGCCTGACTGCCAAAGCCCTTATCTGTGACGGTCAGCCATGGAGCTTTCCACAGCAGAACAATCATCTCCTTTGCTTGTTTCCTCATCTGTTGCAAGGAAGGAATCATGAAGCTATCCACTCTGAATACGTCTGTAAAATTGTCCCATCTCTGGACATTTGAACACAGCTCTCCTTGTCATTGTGAATGATGAGTCATCATATTTTGCAGCCAGGGTAGTGCCTCATTAGTTACAGTCTTAGGCTTTGTGATTAGGAGACTGTAAACATGACCTGTATAGCAGGCAGGCTGAATGGTGGCCTCAAAGGTAGATCCACCTCCCAGTCCTTAGAACCTGTGACTGAGACCTTATTTGGAAACACGAGGCTCTGCAAATATAATGAAATTAAGTATCTCAGACGGGATTATCCTGGATTACCTGCACGAAGAGGGAAGAGGTGTTAATTCTAATGACAGGTGTCCTTGTAAGAGACAAAAGAGGAGAAGACACAGAAACAGAGGCTAGACCTTGTGAAGATGGAGGCAGAAGACTGGAGGGGTGCAGCCTTAAGCCAGGGAAAGCCTGGAGCCACCGGAAGCCTGAGGAGGCCAGGAAGGATCCTCCCCTAGAACCTTCAAGGGGAATACAATATTACATCTTGATTTCAGATTCTGGCCTCCAGAACTGTGAGAAGAAGCATACCTGTTGTTTTAGGTTGATGGTAATTTGTTACAGCAGCCACAGGAAACCAGATCTGGGCACCATGGAGAGCAGATGCCTGCGTGACTTTGGCTGCTGCCATCTGTCTGCCTTTTGCATTCCCATTGTTGCCCTGATATGGCTGGGTTCTGTGGACACCCCTTTCCTGATGTCTTTGTGGTCCCTAATTCAGGAAATGCATTAGCACTGATGAGCTTTGGGAAGCTTTATAACAAGCTCAGTTCCCAGCCAGGCTCATGGCTCTCAACATTCTCGTGACTCCCACAACCTGGCTCCAGAGCTCTCTGCTTCTCCCTTCACTGCTCTTATAAAGAGACAGAAGGGCTAATTCCTGACAGTGAACTTTCCTTGCCTGTCCCATGGCAGAAATGCAAGAAAACACTACTCCTGCTTTTCTCTGCTTGCCTCCCTTCTCTTCCCAGCCACTGGCCTTGGGATTTCAGAGTCACCAACAACATGTGGATACGTAGCCTCGCTGTCACATCCACCCTTTGTGTGGACTTGTAGGTGCTTTTTACTCATGGAAATGGACTTTCTTGCCAGGAGGAACATGGCTCATCATTCATTCTTAAAAAAGCCATAATTCTGTGGATTAAAAAGATAAACAGAAAGGAATATTTTCAATTTTCATCCATCGTGATATCAATGTGGATCTGTGCTTTGCCGTGAGGAACTTTGCAGCTAAAAGCTCATGAGCAGTCTTAGCTTCTTCATCCCATGGCTGGACAACCGGTTTAGGATAATGATAAACATTCTTTTAACAAGTTTTCTTTTCCTTAAAAATCTAAATATGAGAGACCAGTTTTTGGTCCAGCATGTAAAGAGCTTGCAAATTGTCACTCCCGTCCTCACAGCAAGGAAAAAGCTGAACAGATTGCAAACAATCAACAATTCTCAGATCCATCTTCTTAGATCCATAGACAAACTTCTGATCCCAAATGCAGAGAAACAGGAGGATACAGAGAACCACAGAGTGGAAGCCCAGGAACAGAAACCACCCCTGGAGTCAGTACTAGGTCCTTTTTGCCCAGTCTGTCATGCTCACTTTAAACATATTATTATAAAGCACACTAAAGCCAAAAACACAGTGAAGAGACAGGGCAGGCATTAGAACCAGACTCTGATATGGCAGAGGTTTGAAATGATCAGACCTGCAATTTAAAACAATTAATAGCCTAAGGGCTCTCATGGGAAAAGTAGGTGAAACATAAAAGAAGATGGGTAAAATATGCAGAAACACTAAGAAATCATCAAAAAGAAATTCTGCAAATCTAAAACACTGTAACAGTGTCAAGAATCCCTTGGATGGTCTCATCAATGAGCTGGACACAGAAAGAATCCATGAGCTTTAAAAATGTAAATGTTTGCAGACATATCATAGTGTCTTATGCTACTGTAGAAATTACTGGCTTCTGATGTCTGCCCTTGAGGTCTGGCCCATGGCTGTGTTTGTGTTTATATTCACCTGGAGACCAACCAAGTGGTACAGCAGCAAGCTCTGCCCCAGGTCAGCTGATCTGATCTTCACAGACAGGAAAGAACCTGGCTCTGGCTTCACTGTCTTCTTGCATTCCAGCCAACCTTCAAAGTAATTTACTGTCATGGTGCCAGTGTGGTTGACATGAAATAGGAACCAGTATTTTTCTATGGGAAAGAAGTGGAGGCCTTTATAAAATCCTTCCCTACCATGGACATCACTTTATAGTGTTCATTTCAATCCTTAAGGGAATCTAAGAGGCTGACAAGTGCCCAGAAGGAAGAATTATCAATAAGTTTATTATTGATAATTTGATGATTGAGACTTCCATTTGTTTTAAGCAAGATCTCTTATGCTCATCAGGACATGAAGTAATGGAGAAATGATGGTGTGCTCTGAATATGGGCTCTTATCACCTGAATCCAGGGTCAGGAAACAAACTCTTGTAATAGAACCTACAATTATAGTTTCTAATGTTAACACGTGTTCCTCTTTCATTCAGAGCCTGACTCAGTGCCCACGTGCTGTTACTGTGACTGGCACTCGCTCAGTTTTAACTAAGAAACACACCCAGTGTTCTAAAGACTGTCTGACATTATTAACTTTCTTTAAATAGGAAACTCCTGAATCATTTCATGAAAAGTCAAGTATTCTATTCTTACCCATGTCCTGGGGATGATAAAATGAATCCCAACTTTAACAGTCTTTTCATTTAGAAAATAAATCTGTGGAATAAAGAGAAACAAGAAACCAGAGTTGTAAAGATAGGTAGATATGGTTTATTATCCTAACCATAAACACTCATTGCCTAGCTCAATCTCCTGGTCAATTTTTACCTTTTCTCCTGGTACTTTTATTGCAAAAACAGAGTTTCATAGAGATGGATAACAATCTCTAAATGAATACAGATGTATAGATATTAGAGATGTACAAAATATACTCTGTTGGTCACTAAGCAGAAATGAAGCCTACAGTTAAGTAAGTGAAATAAAGAGCATAGAATTTATCAATTAAGTCTGTTGTCAAGTTTCCTTTAGAACCAGCCTCATGGTTTCTTACAAAACACAGTTAGTGGAATGTTCTAAGTTGTGTGGGCTCCTTCATGTCCTACTTTCTTACCCTTAAAAAAACAAAAATGGGACCAGGCATGGTGGCTAACACCTATAATCCCAGTACTTTGGGAGGCAGAGGGGGGAGGATCACTTGAGGTCAGGAGTTTGAGACCAGCCTGGTCAACATGGTAAAACCTCGTCTTTATTAAAAATACAAAAATCAGCTGGGTGTGGTGGTGGGTGCCTGTAATCCTAGCTACTCAGGGGGGCTGAGGCAAGAGAATCACTTGAACCCAGGAGGCAGAGGTTGCAGAGCCTGGATCAGGCCACTGCACTCCAGCTGGGTGACAGAGTGAGACTCTGTTTCCAAAAAAAAATAATAATAATGAAAATGAAAAAACAAGAGACATGAGCAGTCACTCTGCTCGGCCACATAAGTCCCCAGGACGTCTCCTGCAAGGATGTCTGCATGTCTATTGGATCTTGGCTGTATATTTTTAATTCTTTAACTAGAGTTTCACTGACACCTCATAATCCAGTCTTTAATTATTGTTCACTACTTTTACTGAGTGTCACTTAGTTCTTCTGTGCAGTCATCCACACATCCCATCTCTGAAACTGGAAGACTCGTCATTACTTTGGAGATGCCAGTTACTCTCTTCGTGGCCCCTTTACAAGGCTAATTAAATGCAGAGTAGGGTGCAGTATTTTTAAAATCTTGGTATTGTTTTAGACCGAAATTGAAACATAATGCAGATGCCTGAATTCTGAAAGATCAATGGCTACCGGTGGATTGGAGTTGGGGGGCCGGTCCCTATGGGGTTCCTCTGGGAGCTGAGCTGTGAGCTTGGCACAGATGTCAGTCAGTGCCGGTGTCGGGGGAATTGAGCGGCCAGGCTGCCCGCGGAGCCCAGGTGGAGTGGGAGCACTGCGTGAACCTTTACGTAAGAAGCACAAAGGTTTTATATAGAAATTGGGATTGGAGATGAGTGTACTTTGGTTGTGGAGGTTTTGAAGTCCTAGGAAGGGAACAGGGCTCAGCACAGGCAGAAAATAGAAGACATTTTCCTATCTCCAAGAGAGGAATGAAGGTCGTATGATATTCCCGTTGTGAAATTGCAAAGAAAAATGATCAAAACCTTAGAAAGGATTAAAAATACAAGTACAAAAGGGGATGGTGTGAAACCGTAGCTTGTAAATACTGGCTAGATTGAGTTGGAAATGAAGGGCTTATCCTCTGCCTCTGAGGCAGATTTTCTTTGTTGTGAGGCTGAGTTGTCAGCTGAAAATATCCTCATTACTGAGCTATGTCGTATGAACTGGCGGACATTAAAATGTCAGAGGCAACAAAACTTGAAAATCTTGGTGCATTTTTCTAAATGTGCCCCCGCTTATTTTCTGGGCTTAGTTATCATTTCTTTTCAGATACATCAATTATAGAAGCAATGCTGGATTTTGCTCATGAAATTAAAAAGCCTGTGCCATTTCCTTGGATAATTGTATGTGTCTATAATGGTGATATTCCCTAGTTACTTCTGGCTCCGATTCTGGAGGACTAACAGCATTTTTAGGTGCTAAATTTCACCTTGAAAGTGACTATGATGTTTCCTTACCTTAGGCCTTGTTAGGTGACTTCTGTGCCTTTCTGGTGCCTCCTGTGTGATAAAGATTTTAAAGTGTTTATGGAGATGTTCACATTAAAAAATATAATTTTGATAGAAATGTTAATGCTCCACCAGTTGAGATTTTACAGTGAATATGAAGAAATAATCCATTGGTTTTAACCTTCTGACTAACCTTTCTTCATCAGTGTTTATAAACAGGGGGCTTTTCAGAGGCAGCCTATTTTTGTACCATGGTTTGGAAGGTCTCTCTGCCTGGAACAGTGCTATCTACCAGAAAGTTCTGGGATAATGGAAATGTCTTATGATGTGGCTGTTGAGCACTCCAAGCATGGCAGTTGCAGCTAGGGAAGTGAATTATTTATTCAGTGTTAATTAAATTTACTTTACCTTTTAACGAGTGTGACTAGTGGCTAGTGTATTGGATACCTCAGGTCTACATTCTATTATCTTTTTGCGGCTCTTGCTGACACTGGGCCTGGAAAGCTTTAAATCATGTGGATGATGCTTGTTTGCTTATTCCCAAATTTGGGATATTCATCTATGTATTCGTCTATTCTAATGAGATTACCGTGGCTAAGATATCATGTCTTCATGTCTTTCGAGGCAATACCTTGTTTTAACTAAAGATAAGTGACTTTCAAATGACAGAAGTTGACTTTAGTCCTCACAGTGGTCAGTGTAGGAAATATACTTGTGTTTGACTAGTAAGAAAATGTGAAGAACAGTGTAAGATGGTTTTGTAATTTATGTGAACATGGTTCTGATCCAAAGAACTGGATCCGTTTGGCTGTGTTTGACACAAAGTGAAGCAGCTTGAATTTTTAATGTGCATGTGACACCTTTTGGGGAACAGATTTCTTAAAACAGTATTATGGTTTCACTTTTCAGAATTTCTACAAAGAAATTGAAAGAGAAGAAATGTATATAAGGTATGTATGCATCACACTTGTCTGCACTGCATTTATTATAAATAATAATATGTATTGTATGTTTACCTATGCTAAGAAATGTTATAGCCACAAAGGTTTATTTTGTAGAAAATTGTGAAGGGTATAAGGTGGAGTTTGTTGGAGCTCCCGGATACGTTCTCGGCCCTTGTGTAGTTTGTCCAGACCAGCGCAAAGTTCTTGGTGGTCACATTTAGCCAACTCAAAAGCAGAACTGCAAATGATTATTTCACAACTCATGTGGCCCTTCTGCAAAAAGATAAGCACATAAATTTTAATGTTTCACAGCAAGTCATATAATCCATTTTTAACTTTACCAGACATAGGTGAGTTACGATTTTTCAGACTGTTCTTAGTGAACTGATGCCATAGTCCCATGTGTTTTTATGTCTTTCTTCCATGAAGAATAGAAATGTTTTACATTGCCTGCTGGGTTTTGCTCCCCTACTTGCCTTGCTCCCTGGGGTGGCGGACTGTGATTGAGCCCCTCTCTCTTGCTTACTTCTAAAGTCTAGTGTCAAATAATTAGCAAGATTACCACTCTGGAGAGTAGGAGAAGGATGTAACCCATGCGGCATGAGTGTTTAGTGATGTGTTCATTACACTCAATGTGATTGTCTCATTTTCTATTTCTAAGGTTTTTTTACTTCTCACTTTTAAAAAAACATACTATATGATTTCAATAAATCAGTTACCTCTATTTCTTAATGGCAAAGAAATTCTTTGGATCACATTGTGATCATCAGAGCTCTGTATTTTCATGGATTTGTATTTTTATGGATTTTTTTGTGCATTTGGATTCAGTAGAAATATAGGAAATCACGATCAAGCATTCTGTATCTCATTAAAAATGTTTAAGGGAAAATAAAAAGGAGAGAAATTTGAAGGAAAATTTTAACTTTGCGTATCATCTTTATTTTTTTTCCTGAGTTTTCTTAGTGCTTTCTGTACCAAAAGTTTGTAAGGCATTAGGAATTATGGACATTGTAAAAAGAAAGTGTAGCCATGATCTACTGTTGAACATAGAATGTAGCTCTCGCAATCCTCAACACAAATCATTTAGTGACATTTCAAGGACGTACCTCTGTTTTATCGTCTCAGGTATTTGTACAAGCTCTGCGACTTGCACAAGGAGTGCGATAACTACACCGAAGCGGCTTACACCTTGCTTCTCCATGCAAAGCTTCTGAAGGTAATGTCAGCTACCGGTCACTTCGATCATTCTGTTGTTATAAATTCTAAGAGTATTCAGAATTTTATTTTTCCACGGCAAATTTTAGTAAACCTATAACTTAAGCTTTTATGAAATTGACTAAACAAATGTGAAGACATAAACAAAAATATTTAGGAAGTACTTTGATTACAGATTTGTCCCTACTGAATGCAGATTTAGTAAGATGTCATAGCAGGTGATCACTAAGCATCGTAAACTCCCATCACCTGGCTGTGAGCAGACAGCCAAGTTAGAGGTTCTACGGTTCCTTATTCAGGACAACAGGACTTGGGGATGGTGGAGAACAGTATCAAGAGGGAATTTTCCTGGTAGAACAGCTAAGAGATAGGATGAGACATACCCCTAATCGTCTTAGTAAAGAGTTAGGGACCAGATCATGACTTTTCATTTTATTAGTTCACATCGAGACTTTGCGTTCATGCTCTCTGCCTAATTCTTCTAAAGTGTGTTGCTCCTAGCACGGGTCTGGCCTGACAACTGTCAACTCTTAGCAGTTCTTTTATTACTCAGATAGCTTTAGACATTGACTTTGTTTGTTTACAGGATGGATGGATGGATGGATGGATGGATGGATGGATGGGTAAATTGCTATACAGCCTCTATAGTTTTATATTTTATAATTTCAGCAAGTTATTAGATTATTTTTCTCATGTCATGCTTATAATTGAGAAATTATGGACTGGATAAATAAAAACAGTTACAAGAATTAGAATTTAGTTTGGTAGCTGCACAAAGACTACTCGTTCAAGGAGTCATGTTCCCAAATCTAGGCAAGCCTCCCAAAAAAACCAAAAATGGAAAGATTAAAAAAAAAAAACAGAGAAAATTACATTAAATAGGCATTAAACAGTGTCAGTTGGGTAATAGGAGTTAAGGAAAACACTGTGTTTTGAAGTAAAACTCTGGTAAGAGTGTTTCTACCTTTGGCCCAGTCCTGAAACTTCTGATAGCTTCTCTGATACAAATACACAGGCTGTTCTAGAGGCATTTGGACGTGGAAATTTGCCTGTGCCTGGAAACAGCAGTGTCTGTCACAAATAAAACACACAGAGCTCAGCCCAGTCTGGAGGCCTCATCAGTGGTCCTCCCGAGGCTGGCTGCCTGAGGACCCATTTGGCCCCATGCCACGTAAGGCTCTCCCAGGGAGCATAACTTATGAAGATGGAGAGTTCAGTGGGTACGTCTGACACCAGCCATCACACTGTGAATTCTGATGTCCTTCATTTATTAGAAACTCAAATTTCAGTAACAAGGTGGTTTTGCAAATGTGAAGCTACTTCTTTTGCCCCAGGGAAATTAACATGGGGTTGACACACTGCTCACGTAACCCTTACTCTGTCTCTCGTAGAATGTAAACTTTTATATGCATGTGTGAAACATATATATGTGCATAAAAACTGACACACTGCTCACGTAACCCTTACTCTGTCTCTCGTAGAATGTAAACTTTTATATGCATGTGTGAATGTAAAACATATATATGTGCATAAAAACATCATTTGTTTAATCACTGGGTTCACTGAGGACAGATGGGTTTTGTGGCAAACTGCCTGATGGTTTGTTTCCCAACTCAAATCAATAGGCCCAGTTGCATTTCGTTTCCCCTGGGCTTCTGGATTTTCCAGTTTAATGATGAGTGCTACGTAATCTCTCTCCATATCTTTTGCCTGATTACATTTTGCAGTTTTTTTCTGAATACGTTTTGGTCTTACTATAAATGTGAATTCATGCTAGTTTTCAACCCACCAAAGGACATGATTTGTATTGTTATGAAAATTCTTCAGTGTGACAGGTGTGTTACTGTTTGCTAACTGAAAATCCTCACATGGAATCTTCTTTTTTGGTTAGGCATATCTTTCGTCAAAACCAAGAGCAATAAAACTTTAGTTTTGGCGGAGTGCGGTGGCTCACGCCTGTAATCCCAACACTTTGGGAGGCCGAGGCGGGTGGATCACCTGAGGTCAGGAGTTTGAGACCAGCCTGGCTAACATGGTGAAACCTCGTTTCTACTGAAAATACAAAAAAAATTAGCAGGCATGGTGGCGCACACCTGTAATCCCAGCTACTCCGGAGACTAAGAGAGGAGAATTGCTTGAACCCGGGAGTCAGAGGTTGCAGTGAGCCAAAAACGCGCCCTTGCATTCTAGCTTGGGCAACAAGAGCAAAACTCCGTATACAAAACAAAAATAAACAAACAAAAAAACCTTTCGTTTTTTTCCTAGCCATCAAATTATCATATCTCCATGTTGAAGTAGAAGGTAGAGAGGCTTTTTGCTTCCCTAGTCAATGTTTTCATTTGCAAAAGTGATTTAAAAATGCAAGGAAGTCATTTGGGTTCTCAACGTGCTTGTTCTTAATTTATTTGTAGTTACATTTCAGAATCGTCTAGTTTTACTTTTATTTTTCACCCTCCAATAAAAATAGACCAATTACGTTGTACAAACTTCAAAGTTCAGGAGTTTGTCATTTCCGATTGTGATGGGGTTATGCAAGTATAATTTTAAGCTGAAAAATCTTACAGACCACTTAAAAGCTCCTCACTCCTGCCTGACCTTCCTGGAAAGGGGAGCCATTCAGGCCAGTGTCCTGTGCCTGGGAGCCCTGATGTCCAGCAGGAGGTGCTCCCGGACCTGTGATTTCAGGAAAGTGGGGAGGGGCATGTGCTAAAGACAGTAAGCAGCGGCCAGAGCCTTGCCCCGCCTGCTGCCCCGGACCCAGGTTTCCCACTTTCTGCTTTCTTTGCAGCATCCTCCCTGGCCTGGCTGAAAACAGATCAAGCTCACTCTCTGGTCTGCTTTTACTGGAGGATGCAGAATGAAAGTAAAACTGGACGATTCTGAAATGTAACTATAATCAAATAAGAATAAGCGAGTTCAGAGTCCAAATGACTTCCTTGCATTTTTAAATCACTTTTGCAAATGGAATAAGCAAGGCCATGCTCATCGTGTCCTCTGCAAGCCTCCAGGACGCCCAGTGGGAGCGCACGCCTCCTGCCTTTAGGTGCTTGTTCTCCTCCTCCTCCTCCTCTTCCTTCTTCTTCTCCTTTTTCTCCTTCTTCTTTCTTCTCCTTCTCCTTCTCCTCCTGCTCCTTCTTCTTCTTGTTTCTTCTTGGAGAAGGGTCTTGCTCTGTTGTCCAGGCTGGAGTGCAGTGGCCCAGTCTTAGCCCACACAGTGTTGTTCTGTGATATAGAATCACACCATCCTAGGGGTCGGGCATCTTCCACCTCCTCTTTGACCTAGTCGTGGCACACAGCAGGTCCTCACCAAATATCTGCTGAATTTTATTGAACGCGATAGCTAATACCACTGATGTGGCGTCAGGTGATGTGTTGAGCCCAAGTCCAGAAGGTGACAAGTTGTCTGTCAGGTGGCCTTGCCTTCCCTCTGGCATGTCTCCTTTTGTGTCTTCAGCTCACGCACCTACTGTGCCAGTGCTTCCAGGAATACTGGCCAAGCCCTGACTCTGTGCCCAGCACCATGCCTAGGGCTGATGGTGCAAAGACATTTCTCCATCTTTAAGGAGCTTGACAGCCTTTCTAGTCCTTTTCTGGGTGACTCATGTATTCCATGTACCATCTTTGCTGTCGATTAAAATGCCAACCCACGCAGCACTGAGACCAGGGCCCTGGGGAGCCGCCCTTGGGATGGCCTGGATCACCTGGCTCCTGATTTGTCCTGGGATGTTATGAAGCGTCATTAGCATGCTGCTGGTTCTGTCATTTCCAGAACCTGCTGGGTTTTTCTTTCGTCTGAACTCCACCACAGCTCTGCCTTCCCCATATCTTTTATGCCTGTCGGGATGTCCAGAGACTGCCCTGGCAGTCCCCAGCCTGATGACAGCAGCTACAGATGTCTCCAGAACCACGGCCCGCACGTGTGCACGATGCGGAGCTCACACCATTCTGACGTCCCTGGGTATGCCCACCTCGGCTCCGCTCATGGTCTGTTTCTCCCTTAGTGGTCAGAGGATGTGTGTGCGGCCCACCTCACCCAGCGGGACGGGTACCAGGCCACCACGCAGGGGCAGCTGAAGGAGCAGCTCTACCAAGAAATCATCCACTTCTTCGACAAAGGCAAGGTAACACTCAAAAAGCAGCTTTTCTTGTTTTCCTCCTTCTGTGCACCTACCTGCAACGCTGTAAACACGTTTTTTAACACGTGATGTTTGCAGAACCAGAAATTTGTTACAAGTTGTGTATTGAAATGTTTTATGCACGTTCCTTCAGCTTACACTTAAAAGTAGAAATCTTTTTAATAAAAAAAGTCAATAGCCGTTTTACAGATGCTCTAAAAAAACACCAGGTATTTTTATAACCCTTACCTGAGAGAACTAAGTCTGGAACACTGATTTGGAGGTGTTTCTGTGCCCACAGAGCTAATGTATTCCTTTGACATCTTGCATTTCTCTGTTGTCACGGAAAAATTAATCCCATGGCAGGATGGATGTTGCTCCATCTTGGTTGCTTCTACTTTAATTGGCTTAAACAAAATTGTAGATTCCACTTGACTTCCACTAGAAGGAAACCTGCCGTCATTTTAATCAGCCAGTATTATATGTGATCACTGGAGTTCTGGTGATTCAGATATATAGTCACTACTTTAAAAAAAAAACAAAAAACAACGCTGCTTCACTTTCAGAAGTTTTTAAAACCTGCCACTGAAGTGACATCGGAACTCTTCGGCTTCCTCAAGCTTCCTAACTTATTTCAGAACCTGTTTTTTCTTTAAAAAAAAAAAAAAAAAAAAAAAACAAAGTAAGGCTGGGCGCAGTGGCTCACACCTATAATCCCAGCACTTTAGGAGGCCAAGGCGGGTGGTTCATGAGGTCAAGAGATGGAGACCATCCTGGTCAACAAGGCAAAACCCCGTCTCTACTAAAAATACAAAAATTAGCTGGGCATGGTGGTGCACACCTATATTCCCAGCTACTCAGGAGGCTGAGGCAGGAGAATTGCTTGAACCCAGAAGGCGGAGGTTGCAGTGAATTCTTACAGCTTAGTACTGGGAGCTGCAAGCCTGAAGTCACAGTGTTGGTGTGGCCGCCCCCTCAAAGCTGCAGCAAAGAATCTGCCCCGTGCCTTTTTCTTTGCATGTGTTGCTGGCTGTCCCTGGCACTGGTCAGCTGTAACTACATCACTCTAAGCTCTGCCTCTCTCATACAGGCCTTCTCCCCATGCGAGTCTCTGTCTCAGTCACCCTCTCCTTAGGAGGCAGCAGCAGTTAGATGAGACCCACTCTCCTGCAGCAGGACCTCATCTTCCCTTGATACATCCAGATACCCTATTTCCAGGTCAGATTCAGAAATACCAGCGGTTAGGACTTCAGATACTTCTGGGGAGCACAGTTCTACCCGCAATTGCACCAATGCCCAGAAGGGATGATGGCTGCCCCTTTTTGTGGCTGTCGACCTAAGCCAAACCCCATTGAATACAATGACTTAACAGAGTGCCCGTGGTCACAAGCTTGGGATTCTGCTCACATTTGGAGTGAGCATTGCTGCATCTCATTTGTCCCTACCGTTCTTGACACAGGGAGAAAGTCTGAAGTTTTCACAAAGGTATATGAGCTCCCAAAGGCTGCTCGGAAATAAGGATCAGAAATGTTCTGTGAATTATACCCAGTCCTGCAGCTCAGGGGTCCCCACCCCAGGTCCTCAGTCCCTGGTACCAGTTTGTAGCCCTCACCTGGGCGGCACAGCAGCAGGTGAGTGCTGAGTGAGCAAGCAGAGTTTCATCTGTGTTTACAGCTGCTCCCCATGGCTCACGCTCCTGCCTGAGCTCCGCCTCCTGCCAGATCAGCAGCAGCATTAGATTCTCACAGGAGCCTGATCCTTGTTGTGAACTGTGCATGCGAGGGATCTAGGCGGCGCGCTCCTTATGAGAATCTAATGCCTGATGACCTGTCACTGCCTCCCATCTTTCCCCGATGGGATCATCTAGTTGCAAAAAAAACAAGCTGAGGGTTCCACTGATTCCACATGATGGTGAGTTGTAGAATTATTTTGTTACAGATTACAGTGTAAAAACTGCACCATAAATGTAACGCCCTTGAATCATCCTGAAACCATCCCCTACCCCAGTCCATGGAAAAATTTTCCTCCGTGAAGCCAGTCTCTGGTGCGAGAAAGGTGGGGGACAGCTGCTATAGTGGAACAGCATAAACTTTTTTCTCCAGAATGAGAAGCTTTGAGGATTAAGACCAATTACTGATATTATATTAGCTTAGCCAGGAGAATCCTATTTCTCAGCAAACTGGTAAAGAAATGGAGCAAAAGCAGCCATCCCTTCCCCATAGTGGCTTCATAGCTCCATGGCATTCTAGAGAAGGGTGAGTGGTGCTACAGAGCAGGCAGGTAGGAGGCAGGGACCCCAGGGTGGCCAGGAGGCCTGAGGGTCAGAGGTCACAGGCCTGAAGGAATATGTGCCTTTGTTGATGGCTGTTGCCAGCTCTCTGTGGCAGCACATCTTCTGACCAGCATTGACTCCCATGACCTCTCCACCCTCATGCCCTCCCTTGCCCTCTGCATTCCAGCCACACTGGCCCTTCTGCATCCTGAAACGCAGTAGCCCTCCCTGCCACTGCCCAGCGGGTTTCTGCTGCTCTGCCTTGAGTGGACATTCCTTGAGTCAGTTTACCTTTTGCTGCCGATACCATTTTGTCACTTGAATTAGCTTTTTCTAAGCTAGACTTTCTCAAGATGAACACGATTGGCATTCAGGGCTAATTTCTGTCTGGTTGGGGCCTATGCATTCATGGCGCACTCAAGGAATCTCCTCCTGCTGTGCCCCAGGCTCATTCCTTCCCATCTCAGCTTAAATGTCACCTCTTCTCCAGCCACGGAAGCATCCTCTTTCTCCCTTATGGCACCTATGATCATTTGCAATGATAGATTTGGTTGTGTGTTTTGTTAATGAGTTCCCCAGTAGGCTCTGAGCTCTGTGAAGACAGAGCCTCACGTGTCCGTTCCTCGCCATGCAGCTAATGCTTGGAACAGTGTCTGGCACACAGCACGTCCTCACTGGACATGTGTGGAAAGAACCAACAGATGAATGAAAACCGAGCATTTAACGCTGCTTCCTGACAGATGAGAAATGCTCATGTGTGGCAGGACAGGTGACCTTCAATAAGTGATAAATCAAAAAAATGTCTTTTTTTTTTTTTTTTAAGCAATGGTAGCCAAATATCTTTTTCTGTGTTGTGAAGTTCATCCAAAAATCACATGGAAGGGCAGAGAGAGTGTGTTCAGTTCACAACAGTGGCTCCCAGCTGAGATCTGCAGGAGGCATTGTAGGTTTTCCTGTGGGGGAGGGGGGAGAGGGAAGAGAAGGTGCAGCTCAACCTCCAACAGTGCACGCATAGCCCCCACACCAGAGAGAAATAAACAGCCCAGGATGCCCATCACGTCCAGGTTGAGAAAGCCTGGCTTAGAAAAAATGAATTCAAGTGACCAAACGGTATGCACAGCTAAAGGAAAACTGAATCAATGATGTCCTCAGATGTCCCTGTGTTTTGATGGAGACAGAACAAGGGCTATGGCAAAGTGATCATTGGCTGGCCTTGAATCAGAATGAGTTTTAGGAGGATTTTCTTCATAGTAGCTGTATTGATAAAACGAATAGAAAAGCCGCTTCTGAATATACATAACATTTCCATGAGAATGTTAAAAAGGAACAAAGCCTCCTTATCCCTCTAAAACTAAAGTGAGAGGAAGAACAGGTGCTGGAAAAGATTTGATAAAATGAAATTTGAAGTATCTAAGTGATTAGCTGCAAGGGAAGAAATTCATTTTAACATCAACAAGCATTAAGTTTTCTGGGGAAAAGTGCAGTAGGAAGTCAGTCATCTTCCGTGACAGTCCGGATGGGCGGGAGTATGCTAGAGTTTGAACCTCTCCAAATCTCCGTGGCTCCAAACAGCACAGGTGTGTTCGTCACGCACGCTCCCTGTCCTCCTCCTTGCTCAGAACCCGGGTGAGCAAAGGTTCTGCCACAGAGGAACACAGCTGGAGAGGATAGCAAGGAGTCGTCCCCCCCCCCCAACCCCCCGCTTCGGGCTTCTGACCCAAAATGACAGGGTTTCTATCGTTGGCTGAAGCAGATCACAAGGGATGGAGCCACTGTTCTGAACTGAACACACTCTCTGTTCTTCCATGTGATTTTTGGATAAACTTCACAACATAGAAGAAGATATTTGGCTACCATTGCTAAAAAAAAAAAAAAAAAAAAAAGACTTTTTTTATTTATCACTTATTGAAGGTCACCTGTCCTGCCACACATGAGCATTTCTCATCTGTCAGGAAGCAGCGTTAAATGCTCGGTTTTCATTAATCTGTTGGTTCTTTCCACACATGTCCAGTGAGGACGTGCTGTGTGCCAGACACTGTTCCAAGCATTAGATGCATGGTGGGGAATGGACACGTGAGGCTCTGTCTTCACAGAGCTCAGAGCCTACTGGGGAACTCATTAACAAAACACACCTGCACCACGCAGCTCATTATACAGGTGAGTTGGGTTCCAGTCAAGAGCTCTAACCAGTCTGAATTAACAAAAACTAATCTAGAAATCCCCAAAGTATGCGTGTATTCTGAGAAAGACAAAGTCCACGCTGGTCTCCCAAACAACCCGGCTTTCCCACAACTAGAGATGTGAGAACAGCATGAAAAACTCGTTGGGCCTCAATGCCGGTTTCTACATCGTGGAGTTTCTTTCTTCCATTAGAGAGGGGGCTTAGATAGGCTGGACCCTGCAGGAGAAGCAGCCTGAGAGAATGGCTTCCTGACCCCCGAGACTACAATGTGGAAAATCCCACCAGGTGGGCAGTGCGGCGGGGGGGATGTCACAGAAGAAGCTCAAAGTGTGACATTTTGCACCAGACTTAGAGTCACTTTTGTTTAAGAAATAAGGCCGAGGCATGAGTATCCCTGCCTGGTTTGGGGATGTGCCACCATTTGAGAAATAACATCCTCCCACCTTTCCTAAACACGGTGAAATAAGACAAAGGCCACGGCTGAAGGTTGAGAAGCTTGAAGTGGTGAGGGCCCAGGGCACACCTTTTCACACTCCATTCCCAGATCGCAAT